TCTGTGATAATTTCAGATACCTGCAAAGGTAAGATGGCTTCTTAGACTCTATCAGAGCCCCAAATTCAGGAGCTGGGTTGGCTGGTAAGCAATAGTTCTTCCTCTTGTGAACATGTGCTTCGGGCAGTTAACTCATTATTTTCTTTATTTTTTTAAAGATTTTATTTATGTATTTTTAGAGAGGGAAGAGAGGGAGAAAGACAGAGAGAGAGAAACATCAATGTGCAGTTGCTGGGGGCTGTGGCCTGCAACCCAGGCATGTGCCCTGACTGGGAATCGAACCTGCGATGCTTTGGTTCACAGCCCGCACTCAATCCACTGAGCTATGCCAGCCAGGGCTCATTATTTTCTTTAAAATGGGGTAGTAATAATAACTAAGGCACAGGATTTTTATGAGGGTAAAATAAATTGGTGTTTGTCAACATTTAAAGCAATACCTGGAACCCAGCAGAAAATCAGTAAGTGTTTTCTCTTAGTTTTATTATGTTCATTGTTAAAATTATCCCTGACTTAAAGGAAAAATTCTAATGTATCCAATTATTCTGCTTTGATTGTAACTAGTCCAGGTTACTGGATTGGGGAAAAAGAAGGCAACATCAGTCAGCAGTGGTTCATTTGTAGGGTGTTCTAGGTGATGAAGTATCACTCGACACGGATTTGACCGAATGCACTTACTGTTTCTAAGGTTAACGCAGAAGTCTGCGTATCTGGACTGCATAGCTTGAAGTCTGTCTGATGTAAGTTCTCAGGAGGAAGCTCTTTGTGTGCCGTGCACAGTATAAAATACAGGGTGTGTTGGGGGCAGGAATTTAGTCATGAAACAGCAGCTCTGTTTGGTTAAGATCACTTAGTGATTCATGACTGTAATGATGGCAATTATAGCAACCATGCTTAAAACTTTTTAGAACTATACTATGTGGAATAAAATAATGTAGAATGGAAGAAATCTAAATGTTTCACACCATGGAGCTTTCCGCAATGATACTTAAGTTATCAATAAGGAATTGTAGAGCAAAAGGAATCTTAAAATATTGCTATTCTTTTAAACTATAACCAAACAATACTGCTTAAACTTTCCCAGTCTCTCTGATTATGCGTTTCCAAAGCACAGATTTATTGTTAACATAAATCCTTCTTGAAGGAATCTAAATGTAACAAATCCCATTTTTCCTGATTGCTGTAGAGTTAAACAAGCTAGAAAACAAATTACAAAAGAAAGAAAGAGAGAGAGAGAGAGAGAGAAAGAAAGAAAGAAAGAAAGAAAGAAAGAAAGAAAGAAAGAAAGAAAGAAAGAAAGAGAAAGGAAGGAAGGAAGGAAGGAAACAATAACAGTAAAACATACCACTGAGAATGGAAAGGCAAGCCACAGGTGGGGAGAAGGTACTTGCAATGCAATCTCAACCAAGGAAGAACTCCCGCCAGGACTCTAAAAAGAACTGTTACAACAGAAAAACCAGAGGAAGCTCTTGACTGGACACGTCACCAAATAGGACACTCATCTGACCAATAATGAGCATGACAATATTCATCACTGGGGAATATAAAATTAAACCACAAATGAGAAAAAAATTAAAAAATGACAATAAGGTATCTCTTCATGCCTCCTAATGGCTAAAATTATGACAACATCAAGTTCTATCAGAGATGCAGGACTACTGGAACTTTGTATATTACTGCTTCATGAGAAAATCTGCAATTATTTCAGAAAAGTTTTGGCAGTGTCTACTAAACTATTGTGTTGGCAGAAAAGTCTGTTTAATTTTTTGCCATAAAATAAAAGACACATTTTCATTTTCATCAATGACTTGAATGATTTGTATATTTTGAGTATGTCTGCTGTCACCTGCATTGTAGAATGTCGATTGTTCTCACTTAATGTGTCGATTTGACTACTGTCACCTTCAACTGGCCTACCCAACCTTGGAACATCGACCAGAGAGAAATCTCTAGCACGAAACTTCGCAAACCACTTTTGACACTCTCCATCACTGAGTCAGTCACAGCACCTTCTCCATACACTGTACAAATTCTTTGTTTGTTTGTTTGTTTGTTTGTTTTGCTTTTCAGTTGCATTTCTGCCTTCCTGGACATAATAAAGTATGACATGCTGAAAATATTGCTTATTTTCTCCCATCTTCAATATTAAAATGGCTGCACAAAAATTCACCAACTTTGATAAGTTGATATTTTCTCAGATATTTTATTTATTTATTTTTAGAGAGAGTGGAAGGGAGGGAGAAAGAGAGGGAAAGAAACATCAATGTGTGGTTGCTTCTCGCACGCCCCCTACTGGGGACCTGGCCCACAACCCAGGCATGTGCCCTGACTGGGAATCAAACTGGCAACCTCTTGGTTTACAGGCCGGCATGCAGTCCACTGAGCCACACCAGCCAGGGCTGACAAGTTTTCTTTTTTTAAAAAATGCACACTGATATGACAGCTGTCACAATACAATGTATCAAAATTGTTTCAAGCGAAGTTAAAGACAACTAAGCGCTACTGGATCCATGGAACAGAAGAAAACGAACGAACTTTTTGGCCCACCCAGTGACTACATGCTTACCTGATTACCCAGCAGTTCCCACCTAAGGTACGTGTGCAAGAGAAGCAGTGCGTGAGCCACTTCAAGAATGGTCAGACAGGTGGATTCCATCAGCCTGACCTGGAAACAGCCCCCCGTGTCGTGAGGAGCACAGAGGACAAGCTGTGGCCAAGGCACAAATGGAACACAGCCTGAAATATAAACAGGAGGAAATGCAAAGAAGTTTCTGTCTCACTACATTCTTCCTACCGCGTGTTTGCTAGGATTCACAGTCTCAACCAGCTCGTATTTCCGTGGAAGTGAAAGTCTCAGAGAAAGAGAAAATGAGTTGATTCCTTCAAGCAATAACGATGATGTGGAATGATCTCCGCAGTGTTATAATCAAGGTTTCCAGAAGATGCCCTGAGTGTGCACTGTGCCACAGAGAAGGTGTCCGCACACACAGACACCAGTGCAATTGTGGGTAACATATACTTCCAAATAGTTTCTAACATAAAAGGTGAGAGAACAGTGAAGAGAAGAATCCATATGGTTCCAAAGAACATAGATGAAAGGAGTCTCTTTATTATTTTTGTTTGAAACTCTTGTTTCCTCTGCAATCTGACTTATTTGCAGTATTGTCCCCAGGATCCTTCTATGTAATTTTACATGTGAACTCATTAGCTTTCAAACAATCAATCCATTCATTTTCATAGCGTATCTTTGTCTTCTTTTAACTCCATTTCACCCTTTATCTTCATGTGGTTTTTCTGTAGAAGCATTAATAGTAACAAACATATTTTTTGTACACATAACACCCTTTTCTCAAGGTAGATGCCTGAGCAAGCATTCTAAGAGTTTTCAGTAACGATTTTCAACAGGAGTAAAGCTGAGCTTTGTGAAGACTTGTTTCCACTCAATCCTTTTCGTCTTCTTCCTTTCTTGTCTCCTCCCTTCCATCCACTCACACAGGCAGGCATGTTTGTGGAGCACTTACTGTGTGCGGAGCCTTGTTGTAACTCCCACACCCACCACAGGTCTTCAGCTGACACCGACCACAAACAGCCCTGGATACAGCCACCCACGGAGTCAACTTGTGGGCTCGGATGGTGCTGCGCCACGTGTCACGTGTACAATCTTTCTCTTGATGTTGTCTCTCTGTGCATTTTCTGGGTTTTAGCTGACTTTTAAACACAACCCCATGTGAGGTGCCACTATTGGAGACACTTCTCTGCTCTGCTGAACTTATGAAATATTCTTGAGGATGAAATGCCATGGTGGTATTTCATCTCTTCCACGGTGGACCCAAATTTTTGAACCTGCTGGATAAGCTGGGATTTTTAAAAATCTATCCCGGGATCATATCAGGTCATTTTACGAAGCAAGTATAGGGAAACCATCTTCCTGAGTCTTGGGATCCAGCGTCTTGTGTAACTTATTTCCCCAAAGCAGGGAACTCAGATCTCGGGTTCTGTTAATGCCTCCATTTCTCCTTTCCCCTCTCCCCGTGTCTTCGCTGAGGTGACTTCAGTTACTGCATGCAGTGAGCAAGATCAAAAACTCAGGCTCCTCCCTTCTCTTTTGGGGTCCCCTTGGAGAAGTTTCTGAGAAACGGCGTTGTGGTCAATTTTAGAATCCATTGTTTGTTCCGATACACATCTGACCTGCAAGATTAAAAGTGGCCAGTCCCGTGTCCCTGTTTGGTTCAGAGAGACGTGAAATCTGGATCAGAATCCACAAGATGAAAGTAAACACGTCGATCTTATAACTCAGAATTGGCCTGCCCAGGATTGAAACACGGCAGGAAAAGAGAAACCCCGCCCCTTTCTGGTGGAAGACTTCCAATGGAAACACGAGGGGCTTTGAAAGAGTGATTTTCTGGTCCAGCCCAGAAACACGTGGAATTCACAATTAGAGATTAGAGTTAGAGACTCCTTTAAGGAAGCCTTCTCTGCACTCCCCACGGTTCTCACTCCAGATGTTGAGGGGAAACATCCAAGTGCTACTGACCGGCCGTGGTGGGTCTCGCTTCCCGTCCGCGGGTGGCAGTTCGGGTGCTCAGCACAGCGGAGCCCGGGGCAGTAGTGACATAGCTAACAGGCAATGATGCGGCTTCCTTTCTTCATGCAAAAGGCAAAGGAGACTAAAATGCTTCCCCTTTTTTAGAAGTTCTGATTTTACATCAAGACTAATATAAATGCAAAGTCATGGAAGTGGAGACTTGTATGTGGTGAACTGGGATGTGTTGAATGTTTAACACAGGCCTGTGCTATGCTAGGAGCTGAGAGTACACAATTCCAGCCCAGAAATAAAATGAGCCCTGGCTCTGCAGAGACACGTAGATGATCGGAACTCATGTATTGTTGGTTCTGAATTGCAGTTGCCATGCTATGCTGTATATGTATTTAATTTTAGCCTGTGTTTGCTCCCTGATAGGAATACCCTCCCTCCTAATGTTCGTTTCCTCTTCCCCTTTTAGGAGATCGTGAACTTCAACTGCCGGAAACTGGTGGCCACCATGCCCCTGTTCGCCAACGCCGACCCCAACTTCGTGACCGCCATGCTGAGCAAGCTGAGGTTCGAGGTGTTCCAGCCCGGAGACTACATCATACGAGAGGGCGCTGTGGGTAAAAAGATGTACTTCATTCAGCACGGCGTCGCCGGGGTCATCACGAAATCCAGCAAGGAGATGAAGCTGACGGACGGCTCCTACTTTGGAGGTTGGTAGGAAGGAGTGCAGGCGGGCCGACAGTGAGTCGTGGGTGGTATGTCTTCACGAGAATTCGGGAGCTGTCAGAACGTTGATGTGTTGGTTTTGGCTACGAATTCATACTGGAATTCTGACCAAAGTGTCTATCATGGTATATTTCACATAGCAGGCCCTTGGCAGGCTTCGTGTTTAAATATTCCTCAACACCAGGAAAAAAACTGGAATGTTTCCTTTAGAAAAAGGCAAGAAGTTTGCCTTCCTGTATCCGCAGGTTTATCTTTTGGGGGGGAATTCATTTTCTCCGCATCCGTGAGGAATTCGGTAAGTGGTCTTTGTTAAGGGGCCCTTATCCCTTCATAATCATCCTTCACCGACTTCATCATTTTCCAACTCCTTTGAAGGCTTCTCCATCACAATCCCTGTGTCCATCCCAACCCTGTGTCTCCACAGAACTCCTCGTGGCTTTCCAGGGGCCTGGCCTCAGTCTCCCTCCTGCCGAAATTAGTAGGCGGTCACCTGCCTTCCTTCCGAGGTTAGCTGGCAAGCAATGTGTGGTATCTAAGAGGCTGTCTCGGGTCCAAGATGCTCAGGCCCCCACCATCGGACACGTCTTTATGTGCTGTTTAGTAGAGAGTAATCAACCAGCATATCTCAAGCACAGAAACAAAGTATCACATCAAAGGAATATGAATTGAGAACCAATCCATGAATTGCATTTTTGATATAATAATTCCGATTATTATTATTTTAATCTGAGTTTAAGAAGTTTGCGTCAATAACAGCTAAGACATATTTATTAGAAAACGTTTATAATTGTATTAAATGCTTTTGTGGAATTTATCTGAATAACCATAAGGTTCTTATTCATCCACCTATTGCTGAGTAAGACATGCAACTCAAAAAATGAGCTTCTTTCGCCTTCCTCTCTCACCCACTAAGGACCGTCTTGAAGTTCGCTTCTTCTCCCGTCTTCACACTCTCCTTCCTGGTCATGGTTCTGTGTTGCTCAGCAGCCTCTCGGCCCCTGGTGAGGTTTGTGCTGAGAAAAAGGGAAGATTAGGAAAAGCTGAGAATCTGAAGGAGTCTCCTTTAGACAGCACAGAGAATTAATGTTTGAACGAGGAAAAGAGAGAGAGCAACTGAACACTGTGGAGGGGGTGTAAGGGGTTAAATGGTAATGGAAAAAGTACAATAAAAAAGAAAGCTATGGAATAAGAGGTAGACGTATGTACTATATGAGCCTTGTTTGGCACAAGTGGTTTGGAGGTAAAACCTTTCTGAGGCAACTAAGGGAGGAGTGTGATAAATATGTAAAAGAAAAGTTCAGGAAGGAATTTTTGGATGTTTCATTGTGCATTCATAGTGTATTTCTGCATTTGACATACAAAGCCTAGAACATTTGCCATTCGGGATTTATGTGGGTTAAACTCTCAGTGAAGTCCATTGAATTAGTGAATGTCCTTGTGTCTATAAGATCATTTGGGGGATAAAAACTACTTTATCCTAATGTATCGTTTCTTTAACCCATTGTAGCATCTCTGTCTACAAGTGAGATGGGTCTGTAATTGTGTTGTTTATTTTTGTGATTCCCTAACGACTTTAGATCATCAGGTTTTCCTTACTTCCTAAGAGAGTAAAGAAACTTTTAAAAAAATGTATTCCCTACTTCAAGGACATTCAAACAATCTAACTGTGCATGTACAGTTAATATTTATTAGCTTTAAACACCAAGGAAGATAAAGAAAGCCAGTTAGAATCTAATAACAATACATGGTACTTACTGAGCATATTAGGGCTTAGTATTCATAACTCTTCAAGTGTCTAATATGACACTGAAATTAACAGAGCGGAGCTTTGTATTATGCTAATTTTATATTTGTGTAAACCTAGCACAGCAAGCTCAGAGTACAGCTAAGCAGAAAAGCCAGGCATCCGCTGAGGAATGTTCTTTCCGCTTCTAAAATGTCTGAATTAACGAACTATAATCAATGCACAAAACGCACTCCGAAATGGTGAGATAAGGAGACTCATTCAAAGAAAGATCAAATTCAGAGTTTTGTATTCTGTGCCTAACTTGAGTTGTTGATGCAATAATAGAGAAGGATTTCTAGATTAACATGGATTTGTAACTCAGAGAGGTTTTTAGTTGTTGTTTCCCCCTTTTGGGCGGAGGTGGGAGAGAGCGTGTTGGGTCCGCACCCGCCCCGCAGCATGCAGGGGGCCCCAGCTCAGCTCTAGGAGGGGAGCGCAGCGAAATGGGCACGGGTGCCTCCTGTGTGCAAGACACCCTCCTCGGCCCTGGGAGACAGTATGGAGCAAAATAGCCAGAACTGGCCAGCCATGGAGCTGATATTTTTAGTAGGTACTTATATTTTAGAAAGAAAAACCTAGATATTAAAGAGACCTGGAAATTACTGAAATATTACTATGCGCCCTTATCAGATGGTGATACATGCTTCAGGGAAAATGAACGCAGGGAAGAAGCATAAGGAATGCCTCTCGTCCACAAGGCCATACGGAGAGTAGAGCTCAGGCAGGTGGGTGTCGAGGCTTCCTACAGCCACCTGTGGATGTTGAGCGTAATGCTGAATGGGGTCCGGGGCCTGCCGAGACCCGTCCTCCCAGCTCAGGGAGGCGATGGGGACACAATGAATTCGGGTGCTTTTGGAGGAGTGGGGTTCTGCTTGCAGGAAACAGTCCCTAGACTCTTTCTTGACTTCCCCCCTTTTACAGACGAGGAAAATGAGCCTCAGAGAAGGCGAACACCCTGGCCAAGGCCCTGTAGCTGAAAAAGGATAGAGCCAGGTTTCACATGGCCGTGAACTTGAACCCACAGCCTGTGCTTTGTCCACTGCACGCCACTGCTTCCTAAGAGAGGGCGTGATAACCCTCAGGGTGTGTACGTTAGACGTTAGCTCAGCCTTAGCTGCTCTTCAAAGCCGTCCTTGGGCCTTTTACACGTGCATTTGTTAAACAGTTTTATAATCCACTCATATGGTCTGCCTGACCCTCCTAGGAGTCATATTATCAATACATCATCCACTAAGATAAAATACCATTAATATAACTCATTAAAATTTCAAATGAGGTATTTTTGTATTCACTAGTTCACAATTTTCTAGAAACGTTCTGTTTTTCTAACGTAACATAGTTCACAGTTGTTGTATCTCTTTCCCCTCACCTCTTGGCAGGCGATTTTCATTCCACACCAAAGTGCCCTCATTAATTCAGTCCCTGGACTGCCCTCCTTTCAAAATGGCTGTCCCGCGGCTCTTCCAAAGGTGGGATCATGCTAAGTAAGCCCTCCAGAAGGAGCCTCCTTCTGCGACAGCTGCTGTTGTAAATCATTTGGTATTAAACGCTGCTTAACTGTCTCACATCGTGCCAGCCTCCAGGAGCCTGCCAGGAACTTTATATAGCTAATGTGCATATTTAGGACTTTTATGTCCAGAACGCATTGGACCAGATACGGATCACGTGGCGTGTTAAAGTCTAGAGCCACAGATTTGGAAAGCCAGGCAGGCCATCCCTGCCGTGGTGGCCATCCCTTCCCAGTGAGAGACTGAGCACCTGCCCGTCTCCAGCTGACCGTTCCCTTCGCCTCCAGTGCGTTGTCTGTTTCTGAGAGTTGATGCTGATTTTTGAGAAGGTGTGAGCGATCTGTTGATGGTAAATTCCCAACCCGATTAGCTCAGTGCTCCCATTGTATTTATGAGGAAGAGGAGGCAGCAGCAGAGAAATACAATGAGTCAGGTTGTTCTTGCTTGCTCTCTCTTCCTTATCTGTTCTGTTCTTAGGCCAGGCTGAAGAAATGTGTGTTTCAATATGGTTATGTCAGCTCTGATGGATCTTTTCGCAGGCGGTAGCCCACCTACAAGTACCATGTAGTGTACAAGCACGGGGGAGCTCAGCTAGGTGATGGGTGGGAGAGATGTTCGTCCCATCTGCAGCCTCACCACACGGCCCTGGGATTCTATCAAGTCACGTAGCCATGTGCCATTGGATAAAACAGGATTAGACCCAAATGTCTGAGACACTTAAGAAAATCCAGATGAACGTTAAGAGGACATTTTATTTTGAAGTCGTCATATCTTCTCTCCTTAATAAAATAGAAAAAAGGAAAAGAAATGAAAAGGAGGCAAAAATGGAAAAGTCCTTGTTATAATTTTCGGTTCTCTTATATTTCTGTGGTGCTCATCTGGACCACCTTTGTGATTTTTTCTAATTACAGAGCCAGGCCATATCTTGAACCTAATAACATAAAATCCCTGTGAGGCAAGTATACCCTTATCTTTATGTCTAACTCTAATTCAAGCACTTAATTTTAAAAAAATGTGCCTTTACTCAGTTCTTCAATCAATACCCATCAAAAACTGAGAAAACTTATTTTAGTATAAAGTACAGGATTTTCCAGCCTCCTGAAACAGATCCAGCAGGCTATGATTCACTTCAGAATATAAAACTGTTTGAATACTTTTTAAAATGTCCTTTTTCTTTTGCAAACACAAATTGCTAAATTTTGATTACCAATACTCTTTGGTATTGACATTTTACTTGTGTTATTCAAATGCTGACGTGGGTAATGATAAACTCTGTGTATGTTACTGAAGGAATTTCCGGTAATAAAGAACAGATGGAAGATTTTGTTTTTCATCGTGTATACATAGCTGTGGAGGAGGGTGGACAGCAGGGCGTTCTATCAAGCCTAGCTGGAGGAAAACCTTTTTAAAGCAGCGTATAGGAGTACATTACCAATAAGAATAGTCTCAGAGAAAACCATCTCCCAGATGGATGTTTTCTTTGGGCTTCTCCTCGCAGTCTATCTGCGTTCGCGATTTGAGAATCAACAGTGGGCCCCTGATTCCGAGGCGCACACCCCCCTCCCGTGTCTGCCTGCAGCCCTGGGTGCTCTGCGTTTTTATTCACGCCGCAGCGTGAGCATAACCTCCTCTCTCAAGAACATCCATCCGGACTGTGCCCCTTGCTCTTTGTGTGGAGAATAACGGAGTC